TTTGTTAGAATCTCAAATGCCTTCGTTTTGTGGCGATTTTGTGTTATGTCTTTCGGGCAGGCTTAAAACACTTCTCAGAAGGCTGGGGGACTGCCGAGCCTTCTGCGAAGACCCGCCCCTTCTCACTTCCCCCCCGGGGCTGGCCGCCGAGTGGCGTCACTGGCGGGCAGTGTCGTCATCGATGAAGTCGTCGCTCGTCTGTGGTCGTGTGCTGTCGGGGGCGGCGTAGTCTTCGTCGCCGTTGTCGCGGTCGTCGTCGTCGTCGTTGTCGTCGTCGTCGTCGTCAAGCCCGTCGTTAACTATGCCAACGCCAACGTCGCGCGGTTCTGACACTCTGGCGCCACGGGCCCCTACTGCGTCTGGGGCCCGCTTGTCTGGCTGTCCGCCGCTGCAAGGCCGTCGTCACGCCAGGCACTCTTGCTGGGCGGCGCGCTGCCGGCGAGGCGCAGCTGCTGACGCGCGTCCCGAGGCAAGAAAACCTGCAGGAACCGACGAAAGCGTCCGGCAAAAAAAGGGTACACCCCAAAGTCTCGACACTTCTTATCATCCGCGAAGAGCTTTGTGGCGGAGGAAGGAGGAGGAGAAGGAGGAGGAGGAAGAGGAGGAATTGGAAATTGAATAAGCCCTTTCGCGATGCGAAATCTAGGAGGAGGAAGAGGTGCAGGGATTTCAGGGATTACAGCCTTCGCGCAGTGAAATATTCATAACTCACACCCTACCACCCCCCGGAAGAAGAAAACGAACAGGAAGGCGTACGACACGACCCAGAAGCTGGAGGCCATGAGCGGGAAGTAAGTGGAAACGGCACCAACGCCTATACCACGAGCGAGTACCTCGCGCCAGCACCTGGAAACCATAATAACTGAAGCTTCACTCCACCCCAAGACCACGCAGCCACGAGGACGTATACACGGATGATTCCGATGAGAGAGGAATGGCGGCTCAAGCGGAACGGAGTCTGCTCGATACGGCCTGCTATACTGGAAATCAAAAGGAACCAGAGGTCATCGGGCAACCTCGAACTCCCAGCGCGCAGACTTGCGACGAAAGGCGCCGAAATGACATCGCGTCCACCGCAGACGGTCCCGCAACCAAACCATTCACTGAAACAAGAATAAATTGAATTCGCTCCCGGATCACCAAGCCAATAATATGCATAGAGGCCGGCGGAAGGATGGGGCGCAGCACCCAGATGAACACCCCGACGGGATGCCGCGGCCCAGGGTGGGCGGGGAGCCGAGGGAGATGCACAGCAGGCGCCTTGACAAGAGTCAATGCAAACCTGAACGCTAAGGCCACCTCCTGAACCCCCCTGCGCACGAGACGACCCAGTAGAGAACCATCGCGAACGGGCGCAAGAAAACCACAACAGAGAACTCTATGAAGCATAAAATGACGCCATAACGAACCCCTCTAAATTTGATCAGCACCCACGACGAACGATACAAGACATACTTGACTCAATTCGAAATCGACTCGATTCGGCCCTACCGTAGATAATCGGGCAACCTCCAGGAGCTCGCCACATCCACAAGCAGCCTCGCAATGCAGTGCCGTAGCCACACCTGCCAAACAAACAGTTCATCCCTTCCCGCCAGGGGCTGCACCCACCCATATGCTGAGAAAAGCATGCGGCTTACACGCAAGATGCTGAACGCATGCCAGACCACCCGACAATGCGCCCTGCCTCCCGTGAGTACAAAAAGACAGCCCCAAAAACATGCGACCCAAAATTGCCAGACCCGCCGTAAATAAGCGCGACACTCTGCGGTAGCCCACAAACGGCAGAACCAGCGTATGCCCAAGTATACATCTAGCCCAGCACGCTTTGCAAACGCCCAGAGTTGTAAAGATGCAGCGCCCACGAACAAGGCCATGCCTCCACTAGCGGCTGTGGAGGAGAACGACATGAGAGCTGATGAAGACTGCACTGCAAGCCCGCCTGCCACCACAAATACCTCCCTGAACGGCCGTGGGAGACAATGGCGTGGTAGCTGAAGGCATCTGCGCGCGATTGAAATCGCAAGCCAACAGTGAACTCCAATCGAGAAACCACAAACTGAAGCACTAATTGACCACTGCAAAATACGTATATATCCTGATGGGCCCACCGCCGGAAAAAAATGCACGGAAGTTGCCCCTTCATAACAATGGTTGGCAGCCGACGACAGAACCCAGCATACTCCGTGAAATTGAACTAGCCAAACGATGCGCCCGCTACTGAAGCCCGTTGGAAGGCCGAGCCACCGCTGTCGCAAACAACCACATCACTGCCGTGTTGAGATTGACGTATGGCTGCGTACCTTGAATGGGCAACACTTCTTCCACTTCGTCCTGCTGCGCAAGACGCCTTAGCCGTTCTGACGAGAGCTGCTGAGACCGCCGCTCACGAGCATGATCGTAGCAGTCCGCGTAGACACCTCGATGTAGCCGCCCATGACCTTGAGCGAGAAAGGTTGCCCCACTTGTGGTGCTGGGTCCCGTGGAATAGACATCGGCGAAAGGTTGGCTAGCACTCCCATGGCGCACCCGTGACGCAGGCTTCCGTCCCACTGGCCTGCGAACAGGACACGCCACCCCCACGCTGCTGCTTGAATGTACATAGCCACAAGATTGAGCTCGCCGCTGCTCTTTTCGTAGTGTGACGGGTCGAAAGGCCCCTTCGTGTTGATGCGAGCCAAAAAAATCGTGACCACCATCCAACGGACGTAGGAGCTCATCTGGTCCCTGATGGCATTGAACCGGTGTGTAGCCAGGAATAGGTTTCAAGGACACAACGGCAGAAGGCGTACTAGTAGCCCGAAGACAATCCGAACGTCTAGAAATCTACACCACCGTGGCATTCGGACGCTGTCCCAATGCTGCTTCAAATGCGAGGCTGTCGTACACAATCCTCCTCTGCGTAGCATCAACTCGCCATCGCAAATACTTGCACAGAAGATTGTCTAGCACACCTCGAACGTCACATGGGGGACATATGCATGCGATGATCACGGTGGACGGCACCACAGTAAGCGCAACATCCTGAAACAACTGGAATACATCCCGTTTGCAGATCTGCACACCCACTTGCCGAAGGATCGGACCACAATACCGCTCCAAATGATCCGTTTGAAGATCAGACGCCTCCCACGTGGACAAACGCAGCTCTTCCTGTGAATCTGCCATGTATACACGACCAAACGAAATATTACTTCGCCTCGTCTCGCCACCCGCTCCAGGAAAGCTGCAAATTCCTCCGGAATCCAGTCCTTCCCTTCACGGCCCCCACCAAGCGCTGCGCGGAAGCGCGAGGCCCGACGCCAAGCCTAGTTGGAGCCAAAAAACGGATCTATAAGGCTTGGGCCGCATGTGCTTGAGTGGAGGAGGAGGTGCAGGGGACGGAGGTGGAGGGGAAAGCGGAAGGGGAGGAACGTGCAGCTAATTAGTCTGGCGCGCCCAGGCGCGCTGCGAGCCGCAACCGCAGCGCCTCGCGCCACGCGACTTGTTGGAGTCCCGAGACGGTGCGGTGACAGACCGTGCGGTGACCTCGAAATCCCCCAAGACCTCACCGCACGGCCCGTCAGCGCACGGTTTTGGGACCCTGGAGGCTCCAATCGCCCGAGACATCCTCGGAGAACGACCCGAGTCCCAAAACCGTGCGGTGACCCCGGATCCCCACCGACTCACCGCACGGTGTGGTCACCAACCCGTTCGGGGGCCCCCGAGACTTCCGCGCCGCCCGCAGTCTCGACCCACTCCTGGGGACCGGCTTTCCATCGCGAGTCTTCCTTGGCGATCTTGGGGCCAGGCGAGGGCCTTTAGAGGCCGAGATCGGCGAAAAACGCTCGTCTTGATTTTTGTTTCCATGCCTTGGATCTCTGGGTCCCAAAACCGTGCGGCGATCCCGAATCCCCACCGACTCACCACGCGGTGTGGTCACCACACCGTTTGGGGCGATAGGGGGGGGGGGAGGCTGGCAAAGAGGGAGACACGTGGACCTGAAATCGGCGATGCATTGCTGGAAGATTGGCGATAGGCCCCCGATAGTGAACCCGCATGCTCTGGTCCCCTGTCGGCGATCAATGGGCGAGGGGGGGCCGATGCGTCCCCCACGAGCCTATCCCCACCCAGTGACCCTCAACGTCTGGCTGTCTGGCTTTCGGGTCGTAACTCGGGTCTCCAGCGGCCAATCGGGACGATCTGGCACCCCCAGTAGCCCCTCGACGAGGCGCAACTGATGGAGACCACCCCGGGGCTTAGAATCTCCCGGACACTGTCGAAGGCTCCCTCGCGTTGCCCCTGAAAGACCTCCTTCGGCTACAGCTTGAGGGGACCTCCTTCGGCTACAATGGAAACCCATGCCAAGAAACGTCCTGCTCGCCTCCAGGGTGCCCTGGGTTTCTCGGGATTCGATGGTTTCGCTATGGAAAGCGTGAAGCTCCCACAACAGAGATCCATGGACGTCCTGGGGCTCCAGGGATTTATTTCCTGTGGGAGGTTTCTTGTGGTCGAGCTCTCGATGCACACGCACACTTCGGTCGGGCATGTCCTCCTCCAGGCGGATTTTGAAAGAAAAGCAATTCAATAGTCAAAATATAACCACAAGTAGTGCAACAACACATCAAGTCTTGCACACTCCTCCAGTAAAGGGACATACCCTTGAATATTCCTCCTTCTTGGATATCCCTCCTTCTTGCATGCTCCTCCTTCTTGAATGTTCCTGAACATTCCTCCTTGGTTCTCTGGTCATTCTTACTACTCTTGAATTCTCCTCCTTCTTGGATGCTCCTTCTGTGGAGGCTACACGCTGCCGTTGCCCCCCGAGGCGCGGGGGCGCGGCAAGAGGCGGGCGGCCGGTGTGTAGCGCGCGGCGGGAGGGCCCACCGGCTGCACGGTTTCCCCCGGGGCCGTAGGCGACCCGAGGAGAAGGAGGAGGAGGAGGAGGAGGAGGAGGAGGAGGAGGAGGAGGAGGAGGACGGTTCGCCTAAGCCCTTCGGAGAAACCCTCCCCCCCCCAGCCTGCCGCGGGAGCCAGCGGCGCGGGGGCGACGCGGGGCCCTCCGCGCGCCGCTCGGCCTCGGCGCGCAGGCGGTCCATATCCGCCTGCAGCGCCTCGGCGGGGGGGTTGTCGACATCGCCGTCGTCGTCGACGTGGTCGCCGCCGTCGTCGTCGTCGTCGAACGGTGGCATGGGCACGTCGTCGTCGACGTCGACGTCGTCGTCGTCGTCGTCGCCGTCGCCGTCGACGTCGACGTGGTCGCCGCCGTCGTCGTCGAACGGTGGCATGAGCACGTCGAGGTTGACGTCGACGTTGTCGCCGTTGTCGTCGTCGTCGTCGTCGTCGCCGTCGTCGTCGTCGAACGGTGGCATGAGCACGTCGTCGTCGTCGTCGTCGTCGTCGAACGGTGGCATGAGCACGGCGCTGTGCTCCATCACCATGTCCGCAGAGAGATGGAGGCGGGCAGCGCAGCGACTGCACATCTCATCGTGGTCGCGGTGCGGCGCAGGGGGGAGGCGGGAAGGAGGGAGGGAGGACTGACTGACCGACTGAGTGAGACTGATGTCCTCGAGCCGTGGCAAAAAATCACGACAGAGGGTTTTCGGACGTCTTCGTCGGCTCCTGGAGGCTTCTCAGCCTCGGGATGCCTTGCGGCAGCCGCTCCTTGCCGAGAGCGGCTGGGGCTGCCCAGACAATCTCGAACGGCCGCCAGAGGCCTGAAGTATGGTCCGGAACCCAGAGATCCGATGGCGTGATCTTTCAATACGCGGTCCCCAGAAGTCTCGACCCCTTCCCCAGGACCGGTTCGTCATCCTGAGTCGTTTTTTCGCGGTGCTGGGGCCTGGCGAGGGCCCCTAGACAGGCCGAAAGTGGCGAAACACATCGAAGCTTGCGAAACACCTCCGTCTTGTCCCCTCGCGCCGCGGCAGAAACCACGACGTGGGATTTCCGGCAATTCTCGGCCTCCGGGGGTGTCTCGTGCTCTGGGCCCCCAGAGGTGGCCGTCAAAGAACGGCTCGGGCTGCGGGGGCCTGTCCTGGGGGAGGGAGCACAGACCTCACGGGGAGGGAAATCGGACACGACATCGGATGTTTGCTGATCGGGAGAGGTTACGTCGAGACTGGGTAAGTCCATACGGAAACGGAGCACTTCGTGCGGACTTCTTCAGCATGAGCTTGGCATCCTGCCAGAAGAGGCGAAGTCCAGACGGAGTAATGCCATACGCAGAGGCAGCCTAGATGGGGTCGGGGTAGATGGGGTCGAAGGATCGCGCCGCATCGCCGATACATTGGCGATGCACTGGCGATGTCGGCGAAGCATTGGTGCCGTGGGCGTGGCGAAAGCCGGGCTCCGCGTCGAGCCGCATCGCCGCATCGGCGATGCGGCACGATCCCCCGACCCCATTTGCTCGGGCCCCATATGGAAGGCCTAGAATACGGAGACCGAGCACTCTGTATGGACTTACTCCCTTTGGACTCAAGCATCCTCCGACGGGACTGACCGACGTGCCCCTGGCCCACTGGCCCGGCGGGATCGCCGCACTGGGCTCCCAAGGGGTGGCCCTTGTCTAGCACAAACTCTGGCTTGCGAGAGCATGCCTCCTGCCAAAGAGCAAACGGGTCTGATGGTCACGGGTGCACACAGGGATATCGAGGATCGAACATCACGCTTCTGACCTTTTTGGGCCTTCTTGGGCCTTCGCGAGGCTTGTCACCGTCACGATTTTATGTTTGAAATTTGACAGCCAGCTTGAAAACGACCGAGGGCAGTTTTTGTTCGGGGAGTTGAGAAAGAGAGGGAGGATGAGGAGGATGAGGGGATGATGATGATGAGGAGGTGGAGGCGGAGGAGCGGGAGGAAGACGCGGACAAGGAAGAGGACGACGAGGACAAGGACAATGAGGAGGTTCTATGACCAGGAGGAGGAGGATGGGGAGGAAGAGGAGCTGGACGGTGAGAAGGGTTAGAACGCATGATGCAGGAGATGGGAATTATAAAGATGAGGATGAGGACGGTGAGGATGCGGATTTGATAGGAACGCGATAGTGGTGCTGTTGTGGACTGCGCCAGGTAAGCCTGGCCCTCCCAAGGCAGCAGTCATGATAGTGCTCGAAGAGGTGGCAGCAAAGGGCGGAGGCAGGGCAAACAAAAACCAATTAGAACCTCTTCTGCCCCCGCCATTCTACAAACTCGCTGATGTATGAGTTTCACTTCTCTCTGTCATAAATGGTGTGCCAACCTGAGGGGAACATACAACACGCTCTCATCTCCCGAGGATGCCATCTTGGAGCTTTGCTCACCTTGGCCCAACGCCAAAAACAATGCAAAACGCAGGGTTCCTAAGGCGAGGAACACCCGATCGCACAGCGTGCCCTCCCCCAAACCAGACGGACTCAAAAAGGAGTTTCCGCTATAAGAGCATACCCAACCCATGCCACAGAAATTGACATTGGCGAACACCTCTCGTCATGGATTCACTATGCGATTCGTTGCTCACTCGAAGCAGCCCAAGGTTCAACCCCTGGATGCTTTGCAGTGCGGCCTGGATGATGCCGAGCTGGTGAGATCTCTGTTTCCCAGCCCCCCGCGTAATACAACATCGATGGCCGCGCGAGTCGCCTGAGCAAGCGCAGGCGCCAGTAAAGACTGGCACGGGCGGCGGACAGGACGGGCCCCACCAGCCTGGGAGATCCCCAGGCGCTTGAAGTCCGAATCGCGTCTGATCGTTCCCCCTCCCCAACGAAACTGGTCCAATGTGCCCTTGAACCCCCCCCCCGTCCTCGTCCTGGTGCCAACTCCGGGCTCTGCCCGGGAATCACGAGCCTGGCTCCTGCCCTCCCCCCCCCTCGCCGCATAGTGCCGCGCGCGTTCGGAAGTGTCCGTGCGCCGCCCGAGCTTCAATAACGTGGCCCTCAAGCAACGGCCTGTGTCCTGCAGCTCGCTCGTTTTATTATGTTGCTGTTGCCGTTGTTGTTGTTGTTGTTGTTGTTGCTGTTGTTGCTGTTGTTGTTTTTGTTTTGTATGTTATTCATATGTTCTAGCAACCAATGTTTTTTATATATAAACAATACGGCGAGAAGGCGAACCTTGTCGTCGAGCGCGGGCAGCGGGACACCGAAGGATTGCTGGCCGTCCTGCGCCACGAAGCCACAGCTCCGCTGGGTGCATATATCTTGAAGCTCTCGGATTGCGGGGTCGAAGGCGGTGTCGTACAACGCTGGCGCACTTGACCTTTCGCGGCGTAGAACAAATTCTACGGACGGGCCGGGGCCGACGAGTTCTATCCACGGCCGTCATACTGTCCGTGCGGCGCGATGCTCCAACCCAGGCGGCGACCAGGATTTCCGGGGGCCCTTTCTCCAGGCAGGCTTCCAATATTATTCTGAATGAGGTGGTATCTTTTCCGTTGGAGATGTCGGTGTCTAGGTCTAGGACGTCGAAGTCGGAGGTCGAGCAACATTCCAGAGCTTGACTACCGCGTGGCCTTGACGGCCAAACATGACAGGCGTGGCAGCGCGCTGTGCCTCGTGGCAACTGCGCAGCAGGGCCCCCGTCTCAAGGAGCACACATCTCGAGCATGATGAGTATGATGCTGGCGGCGCGGCCATAGGGTGATAGTTTTCAAGCTAGTCCAATTCTTCCAGATCTTACTAAGCAAATGCACCAAGTGCGAGCCCGAATTGTCGACTTCCCAACTGCGGGGGGCTCTTGATCAATCGCTGGCGGAAGCTGTGGCCAATGGCCCCGACGCGGCCTCGTCCAGTCTGCCCGACCCCGGGCAGCAGTCGCGGTGGCGCTCGGAGAGGTGGCGGCAGAGGGAAGGCAGGGCAAAAACAGACCAGTTAGTGAAAACTTCTGCTGCCCCCGCCACCCTGCAAACTCGCCGACGCTCTTCTCTGCCATCGTGGAGTGGGGAGGGGAGGGGGGCAAACTGGGAGAAATTCGACAGTCTGTCATCCCCACGGGCGAATTCCCCCACGGTGTCCCTGGCGGCCTTTGCAAAAGATGCGCCCTCGGAGATTTGGTCATTTTGGCCCCGCGCCGACAAGCGACGGAAAACGCAGGGCCCCCCAGGGCGAGAAACGCCCGATCCCACCACGCGCCCCCCGCGTGGCCAAACGAACTCAAAAACGAATTCCCGCCTTTCGGGGGCGCCCGGCCCATGGCTCAGACATTGACACCGGCGACAGGCTCTCGTCATGTTTTCTCCCAGAGGTTCGTTGCTCACCCGAGGCAGCCCGAGGGCCTCTCTTTGAATGTCGTTTCACTGCGGACTGGATGCGGTCGACTGGTCAGACCTCGGTTCCCTAGCCCCCCGCGCAATGCCGTATCGATGGCCGCCCGAGTCGCCCGAGCATGCGCGGGCGTCGGTAAAGAGTGGCACGGGGGCCTGGAAGATCTTCCAGGCGCGTGAAAATCGAATCGCGTAATAATCCATTCCCGACGAAACTGGTCCAGACTCAGACCCCCTGTGCCCTTGGGCCCTCCTCCCGTCTTGTCCTGGCGCCACCTCCTCGTTCTCGTCGGATATCATGGGCCCGGCACCTGCCCCCCCCCCGCCTCCTTCGCCCAAGGGGGCCGCTCGCGTTGGGAGGTGTCCGCGCGGCGCCCAAATATCAGCGACGTGGCCCTCCAGCGCCGGCGCGTTTCCTCGCGCGCGCCAAGGTTTTCCCGCGAAAGCGCAGACCGTGTCGTCGAACGCGGGCAGCGGGATGCTGAAGAATTGCTGGCCGTCCTGCGCCGCGAAGCCACGGCTCCGCTGGGCGCAGATATCTTGGCACTCTCCGACTGCAGGGTCGAGGGCAATGTCGAGAAAAAGTGGCGCATTCGGATCTCCCTGGAGTGGAGGACGGGTTTGACAAATTGGCCGAGACCGACGAGTCTTATCCAGGACCGTCATACAGTCCGCGCGACGAGATTCTCTAACCCAGGCGGCGAACAGGATTTCTGAGGCCCCTCTCCAAGCAGAATTGCATGATCACTCTGAGTGATGTCGTGTCATGCGCGTTGGGAATGTCGGTATCTAGGACGTGGGGGTCTCAGGTCGGGCACCATTCCAGAGCTTGCTGACCTCGTGGCCTTGGCGGTTCGACGAGGCAGGCGTGGCGCCGCGC